AGGAAATATTAAGTGGACCAACTATGTCGACGTGAATGTGGGAAAATCTGTCCGCCAACGGAAAATGCCCTAGTTCCGAAGTATTATGCCTATAAACTTTGGCACGTTGACATGCAATGCACGACTTGGCCCATTTACCTACGTCCTTATTCATATTAACCCTGAAAAATCTATTACTCATTAGCTTACGCGAGGTATGGATTCCGGGGTAGCTAAGACTATGAATAGTCGAAAGCTAAGCGCCTAAATTGTTACGGTAAATATGGTTTCGCCCGATTGGTAGATATTTCACACCAAACGGGAAAGTTGCTGCCAGGAATATATATCTGTTTTAAATTCCACTTATTAGAATTGCGTAGACTAACTAGCTGCTCGTCTTTACTTTGTGCACTGCTGATTGCTGCATAAATACGGTGGGACAAGTTACGGTCTCTATCCTTGATAACGCGTCCGCTACTACATTCTTATCACTTTCAATGTGCTTAATGTTCGTAGTGAACTCGCTAATAAAAAGTAGTTGTCTCACGCGCCTAGGTAATTCATTGTTGCTTTTGAATTTTGAAAACGCAAAAATTAAGGCTTTATGATCTGTAAAAATTACCAAATCTTGACCCTCAACCATATTTCTGAAAAACTTCACTGCAAGGTAAATAGCTACAAGTTCTTTATCGTAAGTGCTGTATTTCTGCTGAGTTGGCGATAATTTTTTTCGAAAAATATCCTAGCGGTGACCATGATTTACCTACTTGCTGTTGCAATACCGCTTCCACGCTTGAATTCGATGCATCCGTCATAAGTGCAAGCGGGGTATCGGGTTTCGGATACGATAAGCTTACTGCGTTTTGCAACTTTGTTTTACATTGAATAAATGCTTCGTTCGACTTCTCATCCCAATTAATTGTAATCTTGTCTCTTGTTAGAATTTGTGAAAGAGTATGAATGTGTTAGCCCAAGGCTGCTGTGGATACGAATGAAAGTGGGCTTAAAGAAGTTGTTTGTGCTAGGGGTGTACGCCCCAGATATGTCTAAGCCCACTTATATCCGAGAGCAGTTTTGGGACATGGTAAGGCTGGTGTTGATGAAATGTAAGGAAAATGAAAATATTATTATGTTAGGAGATTTTAATGGAAGGGTTGGGGTGAAGAGGTCTGGTTATGAAAGGATATTAGGAACGTTTGGCGATGAAAGAATAAATGAGAATGGTGAAGACCTCCTCACCGTATGTGTGGAAAAGAATCTTTTTGTGGCGAACACTTTCTTTCGCCATAAGAGGATTCACATGTATACATGGGAAAGAGGGGATGATAGAAGCATGATAGATTTTATAATTGTGGATGAAAGAATGAGGAGCGCAGTGGTAGATACAAGGGTTTACCGGGGGTCCAACGTAGGGACGGATCATTACTTGGTCTTATGCCGAATTAATGGTCTATTCAGACGTTGGCGGCATCGGACATCGGTGCCTACCACTGCGTTACAGCGTATAAGAATAGAGAGGTTACAAGATGAAGGTGTGAAAGAGAAGTATAAATACAGATTGAGGGAAAATATAAGTGGGTTGAATGAATTATGTATGAATGATTTAGAATTGAAGAATGTATGGAATAATATTAAGAAAGATTTGGTGGATGCAGCCACCGAAGTATGCGGTGTAAGTAAGAGAACGAATGAAAGGAAAAGTAATACGTTGTGGTGGGATGATGAGGTACGGATGGAAGTTGAAGCAAAGAAGAGAGCATGGCTAGATTTACTAGCAACTAAAGCTGGTAATTCTGGCGGTATGAATGATGAGATTGAAAGAAAAAAGGCAGACTTTAGACGTATAAATAAGAGAGTAAAAGAAGTTGTTGAAAGGAAAAAGCAAGAAAGGATAGATAAGAATGATAGAAGGATATCTGATAACTTCCAGGCAAATATTAAAATGTTCTGGAAGCTCGTAAGAACTGCCAGGGGAAATTCAAAACAGCCTAGAATAAATGCTATACGAGACGAGAATGGCTGCATGCTGAATGATGAAGTTTCGAATTTAAAGAGATGGAAGGAATACTTTGAAAGCGTGTTTAAGAGTGAAGAGTCGTCTGGAATAAGTGAAATAGAAATTCCGGAAGAAGTGGAGAGAGGTAGGGAGATAAGTGTAGATGAAATAATGAAAGCAATGAAAAGCATGAAAGCAGGTAAGGCAGCCGGATATGATAGAGTATCACTCGAAATGCTAAGGGCTGGTGATGGTGTGGTGACAGGCCTGCTGCACACCTTGTTTAATTTATGTTGGGAACTGAAACGGGTACCGGAAGACTGGTGCAAAGCTGTTATAGTCCCAATATATAAGGGAAAGGGGTCGCAGCAGGACTGTAAAAACTACCGTGGTATCAGCTTGCTTAGCATTGTGGGTAAACTGTATGCTAAGGTGTTAATTGAAAGAGTTATGGAAGAAACTGATGGAAAAATTTGGGATGTGCAAGCTGGATTTAGAAAGGGGATGGGGTGTACGGATCAAGTCTTTTCCATGCGCATGATAGCGGAGAAGTTTTTGGCTAAAAACCAGAAAGTTTTTTGTGCGTTCATGGACTTGGAAAAGGCTTATGACAGATTGGACAGGAATGTGTTATGGCAAACACTGAACTCATTTGGGTTGAGCGCTGGCTTGATACAGGCATTAAGATCTCTTTATAGGGACTCTAGTGCTTGTGTCAGGATCAACGGGGTCTACTCGGACTGGTTTGGCATTCATAAAGGTGTCAGACAGGGATGTGTGGCTTCCCCGTGGCTGTTTAACTTATTTATGGACAGTTGTTTGCAAACTTTGAAAGTTGAAGAATGTGGGTTGAGAATGGGTGAGTCAACCGTCAAATGCCTTTTGTACGCCGATGATCAAGTCATATTTGCATCGTCGGCGGCCGAGTTGCAAATGATGGTTACTTTAATGAATTGGTCATTGAAAGAAAGGGGTATGAAAGTGAACGCAAGTAAGACGAAAGTGATGGTTTTTGAAAGAGAAGAAAGTAAAACTTTATGTAAAATAAGAATAGAAGGGGAGTTGATTGAGCAAGTGGATGAATTTGTATATTTGGGATGTTTATTTAGCAGGGATGGTAGATATGATAAGGATATAGAACGACGAGTGAACGCAGGAAATAGAGTGAATGGGGCTCTACACGCTATTATGAGGAGTCAGAATGTGTCAACTAAGGCACGTATGGCAATTCATAATGCTGTGTTAGTCCCTACTTTAATGTATGGTAGTGAAAGTTGGGTCTGGCAGAAGAAGCATGAGAGTAGAATAAATGCTGTAGAAATGCGTTCCTTAAGGAGTATGCTAGGGCTGAATCTGAATGACAGGGTGAGAAATAGTGTGATAAGAGAAAAGTGTGGTCTGCAAGATGACGTTGTGACAAGGATTAAGAAAGGAATGCTTCGGTGGTTTGGTCATGTAGAAAGAATGAACGAGGAAAGAGTGACAAAGCAAATTTATGTTGCGGAAGTGAACGGCAGGGTCGGGAAGGGACGCCCTAGACGAAGGTTTATCGACCAAATCGGCGATACATTAAAAATGGGCCAGATTAGGAGTACCCATAACCGACGAGCGTGTATGCGTAGATATATGGATGTAAAAGAGGCGAGAGAGGTGTGTCAGGATCGCGCCAAATGGAAGTCCGTAGTCTCTGCCTACCCCTCTGGGTGACAGGCGTGAGTGTTTATGTATGTATGTATGTTAGAATTTTTTTAAAACTTACTTAACTCCATTTGATACTCTACAGCATTGGGCAAATGTAAACGATAAAAGTTGACCATTCCCAAAATCTCCTGGGTTCTTCAACAGTTACTGTTTTCGGAAAAGCACACATAGCATCAACTTTATCTCTAAGAGGACGAACACCTTCCGTAGATACCTCGAAACCCAAAAATCTATTTTAGATTGTCCAAATAAGCATTTATTCAAGTTGATAGTCAAACCGCATTTATTTAACCGCTCGAACACGATATTCAAATGTTCTCTATGTGACGTCATATCTGTGCTTGCAATGATGACATCATCGATATAGGTATAAATAAAATCTAAGCCCTCAAAAATTGTGTGATTCATAAACCGTTGAAAAGTTTGCGCACTATTGCGGAGTCCAAAACACACACGTGGGAATTTAAAGAGACCGAAAGGTGTTATTATGGCGGTCTTCTCTACATCGTTAGTGTTGACCATTATTACATGATACGTGCGATTAATGTCGATTCGTGAAAATATTTTTTTTTACCTTCTTATAAGTATGTAAAATCATGCAATCGCGGTATAGGGTACCTATCCGGCTTTGTTATCGCATTAAGAGCCCTGTAATTGCCACATGGTCGTATTTGGCCGTCTTTTTTAGGCACCACGTGTAGAGGACTTGCCCACGCACTTTTCGACGGTCTACAAATCCCTAACTGTTGTATAAGCTTAAACTCTTCTTTGACCTTTTCGTATCGATGCGGTGGTAACGGTCTTGCTTTAGCGTGTTTGGGCGGTTCTTTAAATGAAACCGGCTTGGTGATGTCAGGGTACTGCGCTAAAATATCATAAAAAGGTTGACACTTATCTATAGTTTGAACTGACTCTTTTTGACAGAAAACAGTAGGAGCAAAAACATTTAAATTTGTTACCTCGTCAAATAGTTTGAGCGACGCTACGTCGACCAACAATATATAATGCGCTAAAAAATCTGCACCAATTATTGGTTGACGCACGTCTGCGATAACAAATGTCCACTGATACGCTCTGCGCAACCCTAAATCTAAATTTAAAGTTTTAACACCGTAAGTACTTATTTTGCTGCCATTTGCTGCACACAAAATATAATCAGAACACTCATTACCACACGATTTAACACGCACTTTGTTCCGCGGCAAAACAGAGATATTGGCACCAGTGTCAATTGAAAAAATAAGGTTGCTGGACTTATCTCGTATGCTGAGGCGATGATTGGAGATGCCTATGCAGCTGTTCACCTACTTCCGCTGCACAGCATCTAGTTTCCCGTTTCCTCCGTTTTCCAAGCACACGGCTGGAAACATTTCTGTGCCCTAGCCTTGAAGCGATAGTGGTAGAAACATAACCAATTGTCACGATAAGCAGCGCGCCCAGGAGTACTGCTGCGGCGACCTTGAGACTGTGAACGGGCTCGGGTCCTCTCACGTCCACGTGATTGGAAACGCGATCTGCCCATGGACATTTTATCCAGTCACTTTTTAATATTAGCGATTTCAGCAATGATGGAAGCGTCACCTGACGAAGTCGATTCTACCTCTGCAACACCAATAGGTCGCATCGTCTCCATAACCTAGTCTGCTACCGAAGCTAGCGTCTTGAGGTCTTTGTTACCGGTGACCACCAGAATAGCACGAACTGCAGCCGGTAGGTGGTTCTGCCATAAAACGCTCAAAGTATTGTCCTTGAACCGATCCCTGGCCAGGTCCTTCATTCTACGTAGCAGCTGGGATGGGCGTTGGTCTCCGAGGTCCATCTCGCCAATGAGTTTGGTAATTTGACGCGTTTCGGACTCCTCGAAAATGGTGAGTAACGTTGACTTCAGCATGTCGTACTTTCCTTCAGCTGGAGGAATTATCAGGACATCCGTTACTTGCTGTTCGACATGCTTCCCCAGTTTGGTAATATCTAGATGGTATTTAGCAGCATCTGAGAGCTTCTGGTTGTACAGGTTGTTTTATACGTAGTAGAGCCATGCTGCAGCTATATTTCTGGTATAGTTGTAACACGAATGGGTCGGCTCGACCGGGGAAGGACCACGCTCTCAAAGAATACCAGCGTAAAATAGCAGCCTCATGCTTCGTATGGTGAGTGTAGAGAACCGGAGACCCTTTTACTGGAAACGAGGCATTCCATCTTAGTCCTCACGAGTGACAACGCATCTACATTTTGATATTTGTAATCGAGGATTAATGTATATGTCTATGGGCCACAGCAACTACTTACCATCAGGTGGACAGTGTGTTCATTTGTCGCCCTTATCCTATAAAAAAAAGTACAGATTCGGCCTGTATGAACCAGCTACGCAGCTGATCCTCCCAAAATTTCGGGATTCTCGACGAAACCGTTATTTGAGATACTTCCGCTTCCGATTTTTCTTCCTTGGACGTCATTTTCGACGGTATGCACTAACTACACAGAAACACAAACGAGCACGGCACTGGATCACGTCGAGGTCACCACTTTAACGAATGTCCGTGTAGTGTGATAAAAATGAGATAAAGTCGTGGTAAGAAATAGCAGTTTGTTATAATATACACGCGTGTTACATCAGTGGCGGCCATATTGCTACTGCCTCACACAATTCAGTTACATAGGTAATATAGGTATATATGCTAAGTGTAGTTACAGGTCTTATCATAAGAATCAGAAAAAGAGCAAGAAAAGTAACTATCATCAAGTTCTAAACTATCAAAACTAGGTTACGTCATAACATAAGCTATAATAATATAAATAAAGAGCAAATATGTACTTAAATATGTCCCAAAAGTTGACGTCAAGCCGGAATCGGGTGATGGGACAAATCATAATAGTTACCAGAAAAATATGAAAAAATCTTAGTAATGTATCGTTTAAATTACAGTTATTTCTTTTTTTTTTCAAAAATATACAGCCTGTGATGGTTTTATAGCTCCTTTAGCTACAAATCTTTACTTTTTTTTTCAATTTTTTTGTGTATTTTTGTGTATTGCTTGTGTAACCTGTTGTTTTTAATTCTTAGCTAACTGCTCCCAGAGGAAAAAATTTTTCTTCAAGAATCCCATTTTAAAAAAAAAACTTTTTATCTACTAAAAATGATTTAAGTGTAACCAAAGCTTGCCTTGAGCGTAACTAAGATTCTTGGCGAGAGGAAGTATCATTCCATCAAGTGTGCGTGAGACAGATAGTGACGCTTTCGATTCAGATGGTAATGGGTGAGTGAGACAGATAGTGACGTTTTCAATTCAGATGCTAATAGGTGAGTGAGATAGATAGTGACCCTAAAGTGTCAAATACCAAGAAAGTCATTTTATGAGGTGCGAGCGACACAGATTGTGACGCCACTTTTTGAGTTGCGTTGACACACGCAATGTAGATCAGTAAGTTACGCTCCTTTGTTTACTACGCATCTTTCCGTATTCGTTCGTGTTATTTCGTACTTACCGACTTTTTGCTTCGCTTATTGGACTTGTTTGCTTGTGATTTAGATTTGGACTGTTTCGATCTGGCTTTCTCCTGGACTATAGTGTGATTGTGTAGTACCAACATGTCTGTGTACGCCATACAGGAATATGTAAACATGCACTACATTTATGGGGAATGCAGAGGCAATGCTAGTGCTGCGGCTAGACTGTATCGCGAGAGATACCAAAATGCTGATCGCTATTCAGATCATCGAGTTTTTACAAATGTGCACCGTTTACTCTTTACTGAGTTCAGACTTCCAAACCAAGTACATGGTGAAGGAAGAAGTTTGTTACCTTACGAGGACATAGTACTACAAGCAGTTGAAGAAGACCCAATTACTTCGGTACGAGCAATTCAGGAAAGCACAGGAGGGCCCAAAAGTTCAGCTCACCGAATTATACAAAAAAATAAGAACACCACTACCATGTACAGAGAGTACGAACCCTGCTACCTCAAGATTATCAGCGTCGGGTTGCGTTTTGCCAAACTATGCTACAAAGATACCGCGAAGACCTGCGATTCTTAGAAAAAAAATTGTGGACGGATGAATCGACATTTAAAAAAGACGGTTACATGAACCTACATAATTTACACGAGTGGCACGTAGAGAATCCAAATTTAATGAGATAAGACAGATCTCAATATCATTTTAAAATAAAGATGTGGACTGGAATTTTAAACGGAAAAGTCATAGGATCTTTTGAGTTGCCAGAGGTCTTAAATGCTGAAATTTAGTTAGATTTTTTACCAAACCATTTACCTAATTTACTTGAAGACGTGCCACAAAGAAGACGTATTTACATAATTATATGGTATCAGAAATATGGCTGCCCAGCTCACTATGCCCGCTCCGTGACACAATATCTCAATGAAGAATATCCTGGCAGATGGATAGTTAGGTGTGGTACGTTCTCGTGGCCAGCCCGTTCCCCGGATCTAAATCGGTTAGATTTTTTACTGGGGAGCAGTGAAAGAGAAAGTTTATTTAAAGTCAATTAAAAATTTAGCTGAGCTTCGGCAAAGAATTACGGAAGCAGCTGAATTTGTCAACAACGGAAGATTTGCCCGTCTGATAACCCGGTCTTTTTTAAAAAGATGTCGAGCTTGAATTGCAGCTGAATGAAAGTAATTTGAACACCTTTTGTAAAAAATCTCAGCATCAAAATAATTGTTGTTTAATTTTAAACTTAAACTTAAGAAAAATTTATGCTAAATTTAAGAAAAAGTATGACTCGAATGCGTCACTATCTGTCCAACTCCATGGATTGATTCTTCTCCTCACTCCAACTAGAATCTTAGTTACTCTCATGGCAAGCTGTAACCAACACTAAAATCATTTTTAGTAGTTAAAAATAATTTTATCAAAACTGGGGTTCTGAAGAAAAATTTTTTTTCCTGTAATCTAAGAAATAATGTAGCAAATGATACACTATTTTAGAATCCTTGTTAAATGTTCAAATTTTAAAGTTACTTGCTGAACTGGCGTAGTAATTTTTTTTAGTACAGTCAGCTAAAGTTGGGCGAAGTATTAATTTTTCATTCTTGGTTCGGATAAATGTGACATTTTCTGCTAAGTTGGAGTAGTTAGCTAAGAATTAAAAACAACATGTTACACAAGCACCACTCAAGATTATACAAAAAAATTAAATCGAAAAAATTAAAGATTTGTAGCTAAAAGAGCTAAAAATGATCACAGGCTCAAAATTTTTCAAAAAAAAAAAAGAAATTACTGTTATTTAAAAAATACATGACTAAGATTTTTTATTTATATTTTTCTGGTAACTATTATGATTCGTCCTATCACCCGATTCCGGCTTGACGTTGACTTTTTGGACAGCCTGTATATAATATATACATATTATATAAGTCTGTAGATATAATACAAAATATATATTATAAAATAAAATAAAACAGTAAATATATAAAAATTGAAATAAAATTACCTAAAATTATACACTTAACCCAGTATTTCTTTTATACCTGCTGGTAGAAGCATCGGTAAAATTTTATAGTTACATAACTTTTTTAAGACTAATTAGTATATAAAAATATAGGAAAAGCAGTTTTACCACCAGTAATTAATAAAAAATAGACAAATATCTATCAACCCTGTATGGAAAATTAATAGCCGTCAATATGATTTAATTAATTACTAATGTCATAGTGTCATCCAACATAATAAACATAAAGTTATGATCGTAAATTATAATATTTGAGATAACTCACTACGAACGATTAAGATAACACACAAAATTAATAAAATGTAACAGTACGCGGATGCAGACTACACAAACATATAAATAAACACTAGTAACTAAACACTAAGTTAACGCAAAGACCCTGCCTGAATATTTATTTATTTATTTATTTAAGCTTTATTTGCACACATACAAGAAATGTACAAAACGGCGGACTTAATGCCTAAAGGCATTCTCTACCAGTCTACCTTTGGTTTGTGCAGAGAATCTAGTGATGGGTGCAAAACTCATAATTAAAAAAAAATTAAAAAAATTAAAGGTTTAAGGAAAAAAAAATACAAAATTATAATATAATGATAATATATACAATACACATACATATATATTTACATTACTACTTACATGCATACAATAGTATTTTATACTTGTACACAAATACCCACAATAAATACATACACAGTAAATAAATATGATATTTTTAATTATAATATATTTGTAGTAAGAAATAAATTAAGGTTTTCTTGTGTCACAAAACTTTCTCACATAAGTAAAATTACAGCTATCCCGATCAGCTGGGCATTCCGATTTACAAATCCAATTAACACATACGTCCATTACTCAGACGCGTCGTTTGCGCTCTCATTAATCTATCAGAGCAGGAACAGTACAGATTTAATTAACCGCTTTTGACAGTTGAACGATTACGTTTCTAGAATTTTTGTATACATCTTTCACTGGGATGAGTGGGAACGAAATTAAAATTTGTTTTGTTCCTTGTTTTTAATATAAAATTTACTATGATAAAGGATAATAGGGTGAGAGTAGCGTCAAAGGTGATGTGGGTAGAATGTGTCTATCTGCCAAGCGTGGCGATCAAGTCATATCCTTCTTATAAAAATTTAAAGAGCGGATGTTTACCATAGTTGCTACGTTTGGCATGCGGGTAGGCAAACGCAGTTTGTAATATTATTACTGTTTGTTATCAAGGCGATGCTGCCCGTTTCTTTCAGTTTCTCTCAGTCTCATCTTACGACACTTCTGAGATGATATGAGATATGATTAATAGCGAAGATATGAACTGTTTCACAATTTTTCTCCGTCATCCACAGCGTAGCGAATGCTACAAAATTAAATTTAAGGGGATTTTGAGATTACATTAGGATATTACTATAGACTTACGAGAGACGCATATTCATACGTGTACTGAATGTTATAATTTTTATAAAATATTTCTTGCCACTTTTTATTCCTGGTGGTAAATCGAGATCTTTGAAAAATATAGGTAGATAATACTACAAAAATCAATTGGTTAAATAAAGGCCTTTTTTTCGCGATGCTGTGATAAGTCATTCACTATAACTTCGGTGATGAGATTGCTAAATAAAATAATATACACCGTCTAGATTCAATAAAATTTCAGCTTTTTTAAGAGAAATGAATAAAAAGAAAAATGTGAGTAATATTTCGAAGTGGATTTTAAGCGGTTGCAATTCAGATGCATTGGAAGAAGAATTTATTTATAACCACATGTTTATAATATAAAGCGATCTCATAGCACTTTTTAATTATATGTTGTGGCGTTTTGTCAACGAAAACTGTATTATGAATAGACAATAGTAAATTTTTATGTTAATTTTTAAATACCATTTTTAATAGCAAAACATAAAATTCCTTATCTATGCTATAGCATTGCTAAATTTTAAACTTTATTGATTAACATAAACACTTTAAATCTATAAATTTAAAGT